GCCCTCCCTCCCTTCCTTACTTCTCCCTCTCCCTCCGCCCCTCCACGGGTGGAGCTGCGCTCCTTTTTCTCTCATCCCTCAGCTCCGCTCTGCCGAGCGGGGCTGCTGACGGCCCGGGGCGCTCTCACAGCTGCAGCCCGCTAGCACACATGGAGTTCTTACTCTGGCTCCGCAGTTGTTTTCTCGCGGCCTCTGCCCGGGACGACAAAGATTTAACCCCCTATATGTAAATGGCGTTTACCCAAATACAGCTTTCCTTGAGCGTCCCGAGTTACCTGAGCTTCGTTAAAGCCCTCGTCTTCGCTTTTTAATTTTTTTAATTTTATTTTTTTCTCCTAGAGTCTCATATTTACTTGTAATTTCCTATTGTGTTGTCGCTTAGGGATTTCTTAATTCTGCGGTTCCGCATTAATGTACTACAGCACTTCCTTATGAAATCAAACGGACTTAAGAGAATTATGCTGTCCTCTGTGCCATTTTGTATCTGCTGTGCACGCTGCTATAGGTTTCACTAAACATCGTCTGTTAATTATTACAGACTAATCCCTAGATTTCCAGGTAAACAAGCCACTTTGGCTTACGGCCAAGTCACTTCAGAATGACATCTTGTATTTAAAGGGGGCAACAAACTGTCATTGTCAATAATTAGAACAAATGCGCTAAAACGAAAAGAAACCTTTAATAGCTTTAAAAGTCATTAGGCGCTTAACACGCTTTTTATAGACCTGCGGGACCAGCTGTCAGAGCAAGACAGACAAAACGACCCAAATCTTTCCGAACACTTAAGCAGGATAAACATTTTCCCCTAATCTTTTAACAGCATGTTCCAACCCAGGGACTACCAGACATAAGCATCACTCACCGAAAAGAAACAAGTGTGATCGACTCTTTTACTGAAAATGTGGGTGGCTCTTAAAAGAGCCTTTGGGTTGAGGGTGACGGTCCGAGACGCCCTACTTGGAGCTGGTGTACTTGGTGACAGCCTTGGTGCCCTCGGACACGGCGTGCTTGGCCAGCTCGCCGGGCAGCAGCAGCCGCACGGCCGTCTGGATCTCCCGCGACGTGATGGTGGAGCGCTTGTTGTAGTGCGCCAGGCGCGACGCCTCGCCGGCGATGCGCTCGAAGATGTCGTTGACGAAGGAGTTCATGATGCCCATGGCCTTGGACGAGATGCCCGTGTCGGGGTGCACCTGCTTCAGCACCTTGTACACGTAGATGGAGTAGCTCTCTTTCCTAGTCTTTCTACGCTTCTTGTCACCTTTCTTTTGAGTCTTGGTGACAGCCTTCTTGGAGCCCTTCTTGGGAGCGGGAGCGGATTTAGCTGGTTCCGGCATTTTACGGGTCTGTCAATACCTGGCTGCCGCAGGAACGACGTAGATACAAAAGCGAAGTCCCCCCTTATTTATAGGGACGGTATGCAAATGAGATGACTCAACACTGTGCTTTTCCATTGGGCAACTCCTGTCCGTGACGTCAAAAAGGTTTCTTCTTCCATTGGTCGACTTTATCATCTGCGTTCTCATTGGATAAATTTACAATCCTTGTCCGCACCAATCAGAAGTCCAAGCGGACCTGGGAAGGAAGGTATAAAAGGGCAGAGTGAAAGCTCTTGGAGCATTTATCCTTTTTCACTGCGCTTTCGTAACTTTTATTCAGCTTTTTTTTGACTCGCTCGGCTTCCTCTGCATTTCCAGCGATGTCCGGGCGCGGGAAGCAGGGCGGGAAGGCGCGCGCCAAGGCCAAGTCGCGCTCGTCGCGGGCCGGGCTGCAGTTCCCCGTGGGCCGCGTGCACCGGCTGCTGCGCAAGGGCAACTACGCGGAGCGCGTGGGCGCCGGCGCCCCGGTGTACCTGGCGGCCGTGCTGGAGTACCTGACGGCCGAGATCCTGGAGCTGGCGGGCAACGCGGCCCGCGACAACAAGAAGACGCGCATCATCCCCCGCCACCTGCAGCTCGCCATCCGCAACGACGAGGAGCTCAACAAGCTGCTGGGCAAGGTGACCATCGCGCAGGGCGGCGTGCTGCCCAACATCCAGGCCGTGCTGCTGCCCAAGAAGACCGACAGCCACAAGGCGAAAGCCAAGTAAATCTCATCTGACAAACAACCCAAAGGCTCTTTTCAGAGCCACCCACATCTTCCTAGAAAGAGCAGGAACGCTTGAACCGGCGAATACGTGATATGTCAATGTATTTAGAAACTTGAAATCTCCCGGTTGGGGGGGGGTGGGCTTTAAAATGTTATGTATCTTTACATTCTACCTTGGTGATCTGTAGCTTCCTGCCTTTTTTATCTTGGAAGTTACGGTACTTATGTAAGCGTGCGTCAGTTCCTCTTTTTGGCAAAAAAAAAAATAAAAAGTAAAAGGTATCGGTGGTGACCGATGAAATCGGTCACCGCTGTGTGGATTCAGAAGAGATGTGAGCTCTGCGAGGGTGCGCTCGTTCCTCCCGGCGCTTGCGGGGGGTGCAGCGCCTCTCGGNGGCCAATCCGGCTGGAGCGCGCGGCCTTCAAACCTCGGGGGGAGCGGGGCACCTCCCTGCGGGCCCTGCTGCCCCGCCATCCGGCCGGGAGAGGGGTTCCAGCGCCTTGCGAGCAGCGCTTGCTGCGGTTTTCTGCTTTCTCAGGTCCTCTTATTTTTTTTATATTTTTTTTTATTTGATTTTTTTTTCTCTCTTTTGCAACTTTGAGCTTCCGGGCAATAATAAGAAAAGCGTAAGTCCTTCCCTGGCGGGCAGATCCGGAGGGTTACAAAAGGCAGCATCAGGTACTCGGGATGAAGTGATGGCGACCGCAGTTTGCAGAATTGGCTCGTGTGAGAGCTCATGGAGAAGCGCTACGGAAAGTCCCATGTAGCAGGGGAAGGGAGTAATCGTGTGCTAGTCTGGACTGGAAATGATGTTTTAATTCCTTCATCCTGACAGCATGAGTAATGTTTCAAAGCGCTCCTGTTGTTTTTCTGCTGAAGTTTCTTTTGTTTATCCGGTTTGGTCTCCTAGGTACTGCTGCCTTTGGCTTTGCCGAGCTATTCGGTAGCACTTTTTTGGATTTGGTAGCCTTAGCTGTCTTTTTTGGGGCCCTCGGTCGCTCCGGCTGCCTGGGCCAGCTCGACTGCGGGAGCCCCTTGCACGCCGAGAACCGGGGCACGGCCTTGGCTATGGGAAAGCTGCGGTGTTTAAAGCTGCCAGCCCCTGCATCCCTGTCCTTGGGGTGCCAGGGGTTTAGGAATCCCCGCAAAACTCCAGGGATCGGGATTTACAGGGAGGAGCTTCTCCGCCATCGGAGCCTCGGGGCGGCCGCGCTGCTGGGAGACGGCGACAGCTCCCCTCTCTTTCCTCTGAGCAGGTTAAATTCTGGCTTCTTCCCTTTCCCCCCACCACTGGACTGGACACCCCGCCCCCTCCTTTGTTAGAATAGATGTAGGTAAATGGCGCTTTAGGTTTTCTTTTCGTTCAGTAATGTTTTATGCTGAAAACTCCCCGAAGGGAAGGCAGGAATGCAGCGCCGGGAGCCTCCGAACGAGGAGGGCTGGGGAGGGAGTTTTCTTTGTCCTTTAAAATCCTCCCTTGAGAACTACGACGAGGAAAACTCCGCTTTTCTGCCCCTTTTTTGTTTTGGTTTTTTCCTCTTTATTTTTCTATATTTTTTTTTGATTGTTTTTTTTGGGTTTTTTTGGGTTTTTTCTTTTCAGTGTTGTGCCTCAGGAGGGGGAGGAGTGAGTCACCGGGGCGTTCTGTTCATGGAAAAATGGAAAATGTTTTTCAAGCAGAGGGAGATAACGTGGGAGTGCCCGGCTGAAGCCTTGCTTGGAAACAAGATGAGAATCTCTGCTCTGTTTCTAAGCGGTATATGATTCTTAAATAATTTTCAGTTTGAGTTGTTTTCCATTGGATGTGTTTGGTTGTGTTGTTTTTACTTTTTTCTTTTTCTTTTTGTGTTTTTTTTTTCCTTGTTTGTTATTTTGGCTTCTCTTTTCATTCCCAAAACAGGAAGGGGACTTTTTATTTTTTTTTTCCCCTCCTTTTTTTAATCATCTCTGTCCTGCTGAAAGAAATTGCACTAGGTATTAATCATCTACCATTCAAAGTTGGACTTTGAAACAGCAGGAACTGCAGGGCTTTATTAGTAACTATTCTGAAATTTGAGGCAAGAATTCGGCTTAAAACACTTCAGGATTTTTTTATTTTTTTTTTTTTCATAATCTCAATTTTGCTGTATTTTGCATATTTGGTAAAATAATCTTCTATTGGTGTATATTTAGTAGAGAAGGAAGAGATTGTGTGGGCCTGGAGAAGGGAACTGGTTTGTGCAAGGTTCTGATTGGGCCATTTGAAAATCCTGAAACAGAGGCCTCCCGGGTTTCATTTTTGCCCTTGAAAACATGGTGCGAGGAGGGAGCATATAAACATTATTCATTTTCAAGAGTAATGTTTATATTTCCTTCTCAGGCACTTCAGTATTTATGTTCTGCTCCTCTTGGTAATTGCTTATTTTGGTTTTGTTGTTTTTTTCCCTTATTTCTACCCCCTCTCCCCATGTTCTAGAAATCATTTGAAAACACATCTATTTTAACATTTTTCAAATAAGATAAGGGTAGATTGCAATCTAGTGTAAAGTGTTTGTTGATTTTCTATTATGTTTGTCACTAAAATCTCGTTAAGCTCAGTAGTGTAGTTTATTAAACTCACAATTTCATTCTCTGCCTTCCTAGCCATGATTCCTCCTTGAGACCTCTCAAGCTTCCTTATACAGAGACTTTTAAATATTGTTGCATTCTCTATGCCACCAACAGGATTCTCATGATGGGTTTAAGTGTATTTTTGTTAGTACAGGAGAACTGATGAGTTCTGGATACTAAATCCTCTTTTTCTTCAGCTTTCTTCAGTTATGCCTGGAATGGTTTTTGTACAATTAATAAATTAATACAATCAATACTGCATATCCGTGTTTCTCCTGATCACTCATTCACAATTAATGTAGAAAGGCTGTATGTTCTTCTACCTCAGGTAACTGCTTGCTATAAGTGAACACCTCTGTCTGCATACCACAGTTAAATAAAATATTTTTATATATTGAAATAGAAGAGAGAAATGTATTATATGACCTTAGTGGTGGTTTTTTGAAAGCACAATATTTTATTTTGTTGCAGATGTGGAATTTCCCTTCACAAATTTAGATTGATCTATCCAGCCAACCTGAATTCTCAAAAAGGAGGAAGGATTTAGATTTAAGAACAGTGCATCACAGATGCTTTTGGTCATGAAATAAACATTTAATATCATGTGACCTTAATACACTTTTGAACCTTGAAGTCCACACAAAACATATGTAAAAACATGCTGTAAAATACCAGCCTTAACATAACTGAGGGGAGCTTGCTCCCAAGTAAATGTTACTTAACCTGTAGTTACCCAGTAGCATTTTGTTTTCCATAAAGCAGGGAGAGATAAAGTGCAAGACAATATTAAAAAAAAAACCAAAACAAACACAAAACCAAAATCAAATTATGCTCAGTTGCAGAAACATTCAGAAGGATGCTGAGAATCAAGTCTAAAAAAAGTGATGTTAGGAAAGAATATTTACTATTAGGCTTTGTCTTAGTAACCATAGAGTGCTGAAATGTCCTTGGATATTAATTTTCTCCCAAAATTCTTATTCATGTTGTTTTGGTTTGTTTTTTGCTGATGTGGTTTTGAGGATTTTTTGTTTGAAGTTTTTTTAATATGTTTTATAAGAAGATTATCTATGCTTGATTTTTCTCTAGTGACCTGATTGAGGACAGGATAGAAATACCATTCCAACTCCCTTGGTAGCAAGCAGTGTTCCAAAGTCTTGGGGGAAGATTTTAATTTATTTTTTATTTTTTTTTTCATGAGAATTTGCTTTAGGCTGGAAATTTTATCAACAATGTAGGCAAGCTAGGTTATTTACCTAGCCCAAACGTGAATGGAATTTACAATGCTATCCCCAGGATGCTCCAGGCTCTTCCTTGTGAAACTTAAATGAAAATTTGCATCAGCTGGTCTATGCAAAGGTTAAGTTTTAATAGTTCTTTTATTAAGTGACTCTCGAATTCCTTCACTCAAATTTTTAGTTTCTTTAGTATCTTTCTGCAACCTTACTTAGCATACCCAAATAAAATACAGTTGGAACGCCTTACAAATCCGGTGTTATTCTATATGAATAATGTGAGTAACACCTTTAGTATTAGTAATTTACTTAAACACTTAAACCCAGACCTGCTTAGACACCAAAAGCCCTTTTTAAAGAAAGAGATACTGTTTATTTCTCTAAAATACACAGCAGAATGTCAGCTTAGGCTTTGGTGGAGATGTGTGAAATTCTCTTGTCTCCATTCGCACAGGTTTGAGAACACCGCTGCTCAGAGGGATGTTTGGGTCAAAGTGGAAGCCAATTGCAGCTTCTCCAGCTGTAGAACGGCGGCAGCAAGCCGCGTTTGCTGGCACAAAACCCGCTTTGAGCTCGTCCATGACGGGCAGGGAGAGGATTGCCGTGAATCCCAGCCAAGGGCCGGTGGTTTCCCCTTTGTGCCGCGGCTGTGGCTGGGCCGGGCGGAGCGGGGGCTCCAGCGCTGCGGGGCCGCAGCACCGCCCGCCTGGGCTGCAGCAATTTCCAGCCAATCCTGCCCGGGAAACAGCTTCCCTCCCTCCTCCTCCTTCTCCTCTTCTTCCTTCTCCTCCTCCTCCTTCTCCCTGCCTTCCCCTGTGCCTCGCTGGGGTTCCTTTCCCTGCTCGGCTCCCCCGGTTCTTTTCCTTCCCTTCCCCCTCAGCCGGGGTTGGTGATTCTGCTGGGCCACAGGGCCGTGGGTGACCAGCAGCTCCTCTGACTGCTCTGGAACCAGCCCGTGCTTTTGGAATGCTTCTCCTCTTCCTTTTATCAAGTGCAAGCTGGTGGATTTTGACCGCCGTTTATTTAATCCCGTGGCTTTAAGGTTTATTTAATCCTGCTGCCCAGGCTAAGGGGGGTTAAAAAACCAACCCAACAAGCAAACAAAAGCGAAGGAAACCCTAAACAACCCACCACGAAACCAAAATAAGCCAAGGAGCATTTAGATTTGGGGATAACCAGCAAGACCTGCTGAGGGTTTCTGCATAAGGAGCAGCTGGGATGTTCCAGCTTGCTCTGTTAGAAAATATTATTTCGGTTCTGCAGGTTTCAAAGCTGAGAGAGCAAATGGACCATCCTACCTGATAAAATACTTCTATCAGGAGCCCGTGATCATTACATCCTTCCCTTCCTCGTGTCCATTCTGTCCTAAAACACTCGATGCATGGCTGCATGGTACAGAAACCCTGCCATAGTAACGAGGCTGATGCAAACAAACATTTTTTTTTCCTCTCCAGGAGGCACCTCTGTGTATCACATCTTCGATTGTTTCAGGCCTCTGCACTCTGCATACAAATGACACCTCATTTCTCATGTAGGGAGAGCTTTCAAATAGAAAATAAATCCTCTTCCTATAGAAGCTACAGGTTTTCCCTGTCATGGGATTCCTCTGTGGCCTTCACAAGTAGTTTCTGAGAGAATCATGAGAATACCAGCACAAATCAGGGTGCTGACAACTGGGGAGCCCAGGATAAAATATCAGAAATGAAGCACTCAAGTAGGAGCTTTTCTGAGGGTAAGTTTTTTGTTTGTTGGTTTGTGTTATGGCTGGGGTTGGGGGAAGTGGGGGGAGGGAAGGGTAGGGTCAGTTTTTTGCTTGGGACTGTTGGTTTTTGGGGAGGGGATTTTTTAGTTATTTTGTGTTTGTTTTTTTTTTTTACCTTATGGAAAAAACAAACTTGATCCTCAGGACATGCATATATTGGAATGGATTGGTTTATGAGCTATTTACCAGCAGTGTTAGGACTTGTGCAAGAAGCTGTGTAGTCCAGAACTGATCTCTGTGAGAAGAGATGGCACTGATTTCTTCTTTCCACACATCATCTTTCTGCTTTGAAAAAAGCCTACACAGTAAGGATCCATTTACCTAAGAAAATGAAAGAATATGCCTATGAAATTCAGACAGCATTTCTGATACCAGTAATCTTTAGGTCGTAACTAATTTTATAATTAGATTAGACTTCACTAAGTTTGATAGATTTAACCATTGACCTCCTAGGCCAGATAAAGATAAGAAAGAACATCTTCAGTCAATAGTGGTCATTGTTCTGAAGGTGTCCTAGTATGCTTAGTAGATAAGCCATTTTAGCATTAAATCAACTTTATCACTTTTCACAGAAATTTCTTTACCTCTTGGAATAGTTTATTTAGAGGCCAGAAATGTGCACATTGTGCTGGGTGGAACTATTTCAAACAATGCTGCAATGGTACAAAGATACAAAATCCTGGTTTATTCTCTGTTCCTTTTCTGGGGGTTCTAGACATTAAACTTTCACTGTAGTGCTTCTGAGCATTGAACACGTTTTGCTTTATTTATTTGTGCTTTTCAAATGTGGGAAGATTTTTATTTTGTTTTAAATTAGGATCAAACCAGAAGATGCAGTAAAGGTGGAAAATGGTGGTGAGACAGTTCTGAAGAGCGAGCTAGGAATCAGGCATAAGAGGAGGACAGTTCAGTGAAATCGAAAACTATGGTTGATAAAAAGTAAATAAATGAAAATTCTGAAGTCTGTTGTTATTTAATAACACCCAAAACACCCAAAGATAGAGAGCCCAAAATGTTTATACAATAAAGGTCATGGCAAGTTCCCTGTTGCATATCAGGAAAGCAAAGAATTATTTTGTTCCTCACCGAAAGGATGGTTGGATTTCCCATTTGATCATCCAAATCATTAGGATCCAGAAGTCTGAGTCCACATGTCTATGGGCAGTGAAGTTTCCATTAATTCCTAATCCTGTGTTTGAGTGTAGACTGCTACTTGCTGAAGGACCTTGTAGCCACAAGAAGTTCATACAGAATAGAAGCAGCAGTGCATAGTGTTAATAAGATCAATATTTAATTACTATACTTACATAGAAAAATGAACAAGAGGGAAAAAAGTTATTACCTTGTAAATGACTGGTAACTCTCTTTCTCCTGTGTGGTGTTGTTTTGGATTTTATGTTTGTTTTATTTTCTGCTTAAATTGTCCTTTGTCTGTGTCTCTGAATTTGGGGATAACCAGAAAGACCCGCTGAGGGTTTCTGCATAAACACATCAATGCATAAAAAGGGAATACTTTTAAACACCGTAGCTAAAAAGAACATATATTATTTTAATGTGATTTTTAATGCTCTGTCAGAGATGTACTCCACTGGGACTGGACATGTGATCCATGCTGGTGTCCAGCTTTGCCTAGAGGAGTGCAACTCTAAGGGTATCAGCTCTGGCCTTGAGCACACAGCTACCTGGATTAGTCCAGGTAAATGAGAATGAAAATTAGGATGGAGCAATTTAGGACAGAGCAATTGGCAGCAAATTAGGCACATATTGAGGTGTGAAAGGTATGATTTCCCTTTATTATGTGGGAATAACTACTGGACATACTGAGGAGCCTGTCCTCACAATCCTGGACCGTGGGATGGGCAGGGATTGACAGCTTGGAGTCTCCATGTCAGTAAGGGTGCACAAAGCCTTAATTTTGCTTGTACTGCAACTTTCAAAAATATTTTCTTTTTCTCTCCATGGAATTAGACAACTTCTGTAATGTCTAGTCATGTTGATCATCACTCTTGGCAAAAATCCATCTCTATTTTTAGCTGGGCTTGTGCATTTCATATGATACTGCTCTGGGATGCTCATCTCCCTAGGAAGATGATGCAAAAATAGATTATTTCTTTCCCTCACAAATATTTCATCTAAATCAAGCTGCACTATCATAAGCTTTTGCTTCAGGAATGAATCAAATCTGTATCTCAAATTTTCAGTATTTCCATCAGGATTCTTTTAGCTGATTTAAAAAACACCACAGGGACTTCCTGAGTTAATATTAATTCTCCTAAGGACATGAAACTACATGTGCTGGCAGATCCAGAGAGATCAGTAACTCCTTCAGCTCAGCTAAGAGCTTTACTTAAAAGAAAAGCAGATCATTAAAGAAAGAACAAATTTGAAAAATCACATTATCTCAAGAGCCTCTTCATGGGGATGGTTGTCTTTTGGGAAGGACAGGAATGTTGGGAGAAATGGCAGAATGAGAGATTGAAAGCAGATGGAGAGAGGAAGATAAATGCTAAAATCTGCTGACACTCTTAGAGTGGACAAAGAAGTGGAGTCATTCTCTCACTCATTCCTGCCATCCTTGTTGCTGTTGGAGCAGATGCCACACAAAGCAGATCCGTGAGAAACTTCATCCAAGATTGTATTGTGCCTGTACACAGTGTTTTTATACCCTTCTGGCCTTATAGTGCACCCCATTTAATTTGCCATCACCACATAACCCCCAAGTCCGTTGGTGGAAGCACTGTTTTGAGAAAGTATCCCCAAAAATCAAAAATACAGACAGATCTCATTTTTCCATGGTGTTTTTCTCAGCACAGATGTTCCTTGTTTTCCTCTACCTTTATCTTCTTCTCACAGATACACAGGAATCCTGCTGGCTTCTTCTTTCTGTTAACTCTTTCATCTGACCCTCAGCCTGTGTGGATCCTCTCCACAATGCCCCAACCTGTTCCTGCCCTGCAGTGTGCCCTGACTGCCTGCCCACATCAGGGAACAAGGCTCAGGGCTCTTCCAACTAATGCAACCCAATCAGGAAAAGCTCTTCTCCTACTGTCTTGATTAACAGGAAAGGATGGATGGATGGATGGATGGATGGATGGATGGATGGATGACAGACAAAAAAACGTAGTCCACATACTCACTTGTTGGTTCTGAGTAAAAATAATAATCCATGTAGATGAACCACCAGGAGTGAAGGATGAACACTGGCAATTAAACATGACACTGGCCAAAACAGATATTATATAGAAAATGAAATGTTATTTCAGAATTCAGTGAATTCAAATTTCTTAGAACTCATTTTTTCTTTTCAATAACATTGAAAGGTTTGAGCTCCTGTAAACATGTTGTTTGCTCCTCCTTTTGGTTTAATTTTGTCTATCTTCAGAAGTGTCCTAATACTTCAATAATATACACGCTGTTACTTTATACACACAGATGTAAGAAAAGTAATACACAAATAAAGTATGCTGAAATATAAACATGAAAATTAAGCTACCTGGTGTGGAAAAGATAAATTTGGGTAAGCATTACTCAGACAACCATGAAATATAGAATATTTCCCCAAATAACCCAATGCATGAATCTATTCTATGTACTTGTAAATTGTTGTCATATCTACAAAGTTTCTATGTAAAATTTGTCATAATGAAAGTTCACTCTAAATAATCTGTGGGGTTTATTCCTTTCAAGCTAAGGTATTGCTTAGGAACAAATTACACTGATACCTGTTGTAGTTCTTCATACAAGTTTGTCTTAAGAATACTTAAGAAGTAATGGACCCTTGATAATGGTAAAAACTTGATTATTTAAAGAGGTCTTATACAGAGAAGATCAAGAAAATATAACTTAAAAGTAAGCAATGGCTTAATTTAATGGGGAAATTATTAACTGCAAAATAAGCACCGCACTAAGAGATCTAGTAAACTAAAAAGCATCAAGAAATGGATTCTAAAAGAGATTGCAACTTTTTGGCAAAATGGCAATTAACACCGAACAAGTTATGTGAACTGGGCATTTTGCAAGGCAGAATGACTTATCTCATTAAACCATATAAATAAAATAAATTTTTTTAATTGAATAATTTTCAAGAATATTAGCACCTATACATTTGAAATGAAATTAAAGCAAAGCTATAGAGCAGATGTGCCAAAAATTAATTGATTAAAACCAGATATGCCACATGAAAAGGGAAAAATAATTCTTACAGGAGCTCTGAAGGGACCAAAATATAGAATATTTTTATAGAATATTTCATCTGAATATAGATAGAGAGAAAGCCACATTCACCACTGCCAAGGAATAGGTATGTGATGTCAAATACTAAGAGCAGTAATAGGCAGAGAATAATATGTTTTATAGGTATGGAGACATTTTACTGAGTTCTCTACTGTGTTCTATGTTGTAACCCATAAATGCAGTGACAGCGGGGGAGCAACTGCACATAAATCTTTGGTTTTTTCCTTGAATACGTGTGATGATAAATATTGTGCAAAGACTGATTCTAAATGCATTGGTTTTGGCTGGGTTGGAATTATTTTTCTTCAGAGTGGTTTTTATGGGGTTAACATAACCTTTTCACATTCAAGAAGAATTCTATGGTAACAGGCATCCATTGGAAATAGGGAAAAGAAGGGGAGGATCAAACAAATTGGGAAATACCTGACCAGAAAAAAAACCTAAATATGTGCACTGCACAGAGGTATAATTAACAAGAAAAAAACTCCTGCTAAGAAAGATGGTATATAGGAACTGTACGGGATAACATTCACTTGGCAATCCTTACAGAACAAAGTAAAAACACCTCAAATATATATTCATGGTAAATTTAAATAATAACTCAGAAAAAATAAAAGGTGTGCACATGAAAAGCTTGAAGGCTTCCAAGACTCACTGCAGCATAATGGACTTGCAGAGCCAAGAGGAAACACAGCAAAACCTCCGGACCATTTTTTGAGTTCAGAAAGTAATATAATGTGAAGAAAGAAACGGCAAAAGTAAGGCTTTGTTATGCTTCACTAAAGAATAGAAATATGAAAATTATCAAAGACTTGCATTATCTTCAAAAGCGCAGGCAGAATGCAGATTTTTTTCATGGGTACATCATAAAGAGGCACTAATCAGTTCCTTCGTCCCATAAACACAATGCCAAGTGATCATTAACACGGAGATGTGGGACACGGCAACGCTTCCCTTCACAGAAAAAAAAAAAAATTAGAAAAATGAAAATAAAAAAGGTGTCTCTTTCGAAACGGAAAAAAAGAAAAAGAATCGGAGCCCATTACTCCCCTTTCTCAACCTTCGGTAGAAAAGGGTCCATTTACCGTAGTAGCGGGACCACGAGCCGCTCTCTCCCCCGCCCGGCCGTGCCCTTTGTTGGGGCGCAGCTCGATGGCGGCGGTGCAGGGAGGGCGGGACGCGGCTCTNAAGCGCTCAGTGAGGGGCTCCGGGGGGAAAAGTACCCAGGGAGGTTGGGAGGGGCCGCCGGAGGGTGCAGAAGGTATCCTGCATCCTTTGAGGCACGCCCGGCCCCGCGGAGCTCGCTCCCGCCGCCCTCCCAAGGGAGTGTCCGCTGCTGTACACCGAGATCCGGCGAGCGAGAGAAAACGCTCCGCATACCGCAAACATCTGGCTCTGTGACATCTGGATAATGAAGGCGAGCCAAACAGTTCTTATTCCAATGAGGAAGCCAGAAATTTTGCTGTGTGTTTCGCACTTTTGCAGGAAACGGCGTCCATGCTGCTTCCAGTATACATTGGACTGTATTTGTCAAGTGAATGAATAAACACTGAGAGACATATGGGACTGTATTTGTCAATTAAATCTGTTAGGATTTTAAATATTACTTACACAGAATAGAACTGATACGCCTAAAGTGCTTGTCAATTCTTATATTAATAGTATATTATAATTTATATGATTTATATATATTTAAATTGAAATAGACATTTAAACATGTCTACCTTTATAAAACTTCGTATCCTTTAAAATTTGTGCAGTTATTTATTTATTTAAATTCATTCTTTAATATAATGTAGAGAACCTTGGCAACACCTCCAAAATATTTCTGGGAATAAAATATTCCCTAAATTCAGGAGGAAATGCAATTGAGATAGTTATGTGTTCAGTTACAGGTGCCAAAGAGGTATAAATCTTGTTGTAAATATCGCTGTGAATTTATTTTTCTTTCAAATTTAAAGAATTGCCACTCATATATACAGTATAAAGAGGAAAATATATCTTTAATTTAGATTAGATTTGCTTTTTTGACCGAACCAAATGAACTAAGACTGTTTATTTACTAACTGGAAGATTTGTCTCTAGTGGACCTGCCAGGCTGGTGCCTAACATTCCCATTTGGCTACACAAATTGTGCTTTGTTCTTTGTATCTGAAAATCTGTGTCTTACTGTGTTTCCTGAGGCAGTTATAAACAACATTCTGATTACTTAAGAAAGCCAAGAGAAATGATGCAAAATCCTTTGGTATGTCAAAATAACAATTTAGTCCTAAGGCTTCCTAAATATGTAGTGAGGATCCTAGCATAAATTTTCCTTCTAGCAGTATAACCACTGCAAGACTTGGAAAATCCCCTTCCATTTCTGCCAGAGATGAGTGATGGAGAGGCTGAGACCAGTAGTTTAAAACAAATTAAACAGCTGCAAAGCCCTTTCCTCAATAAGTGTGGTACATTAGGTATAATTTAACATCATGCCTTCTAGAAGGCTGCCTTGCCTATGCCTTGCTACGAGTGTGCACAGACATTTCACAGGTGTGTCTGTTAGGGATATATTCAGTTCTTTCATGGATCAGAGCATTTGCTTGAGCAAAAAATAATTTAAAAAAAGAGAAGAAAGAAAATTATGCTGCTGAATATAATCCCTAATAAAGCTGTTGATTTGAGATAATTTGTTTTGGATCAAAGTTTAGTGCCCAATCTGCATGTTATAGATATTACATTTTCCTCATGAATTTGGGCACACAACACTAGGGGCTAAATGAGAAAGGAAATCTTTGCAAAACTCAGCTCTGTTAAAAAAAAATGAAATATAAATCTGTAGCTTTTCAAGTGTGGATTAATTAGTACAGTTGCCCCAGCTCCTCATTAAACTAAAATGAGGAAATTGCATTTGTCTATTTACAATGAGGCAACATCTCACCATGACTGCACAAGAGGGTACGTAATGAGTAAAAAAAAATCATTGCATCGGTATAAAATAACCAACTTCAAAGCCTCTCATTATTTTCTCGAGAGCTTAAGTAGCAATTTAAATCCATATCTGTATCTGCTACAACTCTCATAACAGGTATAATAATATGCAAACAAAAGTAATGTAATACGTACATTTCTGCTAGTGTTGCAAGTAATAGAGATGAAAATGGGTAAAAAAGCTCCTCAAATTTTTAACTATGCTGTTTTTTGAGTCTTTTGATATATAGACTGACATTACTGAGTTATCTCCAAGCATAACTGTGATCTATAACATTTGAGGGACCTTGGGTGTGGGTTTGTTGTTTCTCTTTTGTCATAAATTCTTTGGGATGTGAAGGTGCATTGGAACCCAATGACACAGCTAAGGTACCACGTGATTTGGATTTCCTCTTTCCCACTTCTTGTTTCATACGTAAATGAGATAAATTAATTTATTTAAACTTGTTTGGCTGCATTACCTCAGCCACTGGAATTTGCTTGAAAGCACTACCATATAATCCATCTGATTTACCAGACTTTTACATTTCAGACCTCATCAGTGTTGATGGCATCACCGGGTTAGCCACTGGTGAAGCCTCTGCTGGCTTAGACAAATCCAGGGAGTGTTAAGGAATGGATCACCAGCACAGAGGATGAAACTTCTGTCACCTCTACTGAGGTGAGAAGACAAATGAGTACAATAAGTGTTTGGAATTAATTTTTGAAGCAAATAATGCATTTCTGGTCAGATGACAGGAAAAATCAGGGGATATACTGGACTTAGCTCCACGCTCAGAGGATGGGGTCCTCTCTTGTGCTAGCAACTTTGACCTCCACATACAGGAGCTTGTCCAGAGAAATCTAACTACTGCTTAGATACCTCTAACCCCTGATCTTTCTCTGGAATTCCAGTGCTTTGATGTAAATACACACTTATGGCCCAGAAAGCCCATCCTAATGTGGAGGATGGGGATTCTCCTGTTCTACTCAACTCTCCTGAGACCCCACCTGGAGCACTGCATGCAGCTCTGTGATCTTCTGGCACACGAAAGACATGAACATGTCCAAGCAGGTCCAGAGAGGGCCACAAAAATGATCAGGTCGAGGTCATCTCTTCCATGAAGAAAGGTTGAGACAGCTGAGGCTGGTTGGCAAAGGGGAAAAGCATGTCCTGAGGAAACCCTGTTGCAATCTTTCAGTACAGAAAGATTTCTCTCCAGGCCTGTGGGGAGAGGAGGAAGGACAATGATTTTCAACTGAAAGATATAAGTAAGGAGTTTTTTGCAAGGAAAAAGCTTTTTGAACAAAGCTGTCTGGAGGAAATGTGGATGCCCCATCCCTAGAAGATGTCACCCCTGGAGTCAGGTGGAATGGGGCTTTTAGCAGCCTGGGCTAGTGAAAGGTGACCCTGCCCACAGCAGGGGTTTTGGACAAGATAATGTTTAATGGTCCCTTCCCACCCAAACCATTCTGAGCCTGAAATTTTCTGACAAACACCTATGTAAAAATCTCTTCTGGAAATTAGGTATAGAAGGTTCATGCATGTTAAAATAAAATTTTAATTACCATTGCAGTTTTTAAAGAAGTGTAAGAGCCAGGAGATATTTAACTAGGAAATGATGATAAATAAAACAGCATAATAAAACCACTACAGCCTTAAACGTGTCCATTTACAAACAAAACCTTGAGACACAGATACCATTGCTATAAAAGATGAGTCTGGTGCTCCAGCAGCTCTCTTCTTTATGTTTCTCTCCACAAATCATCCCTGATGCCCACTTTGGCCATGGCTCAATGCTGCCTAAAAGGCCTCAGTTACAGCTTGGGGATGGTGAGGAGGCACAGTGGGAGCGTTGCCTTCCCCCAAGCCCAGAGCACTCCTCCTCCTCTCTGGGAGTGGAAAGAGCAGAGGTGAAGCAGAGATGAGACCAATCACCTCAATACAGTGTGCTACAAACCATCAGATGAGGCTTCTGGGCCAGTTTTTCTCATAGTTTATAATGATGAAGAAATTTGATGTGCTCTTAGGTGATATTTGTGCCAATAAAATAGAAAACACAATATTATCTGCGGTTAATTAATGCAACAAGAGGAGCAGCAATGAATAGTGAGAGATTTATGAGTAGGAAGTTTGAAAATGCTACATAAAATGGGAATATACTACCACTACAAGGTGTTCCTCAATGAAAGTATTACACTGTTGCTTTAGAGTGCAGGTTTGACTACCTAGAGATGCAAACAAAATGCCATTTTTTCCAAAAGCATTCCTCATTTTATTAAGGCATAAACTTAAGAAATATGGAACTTACACACCTTTTAAAGGACAAAGGCCTTTCGAGGGAATGAAGAAAGCCTTTTTAGATGGTTAGACGTCGCTATATCTGGGGTTTAGGATGGTCTCCTATTTATCTTCAAGCTGCAGAGCTTTTGCCACTCCCACCCGTGCTTTAGTCACCGTCGTGTTTTTACATTCTAACTAAGCTGTGGGACCATGACAGGTGAGTAGAATCCTAAAGAACCAGCTATTTACTGAGCATTACGCTAATAATAAAACACATTGAAAACACTAAGGTTCATTTAAAAACACAGGTCAATAAGCAAATATATCACCCCTCTTCAATATAAACCAGATTTTAAAGCACTGTAAGACAAGTTCGAGTTAAACTCAGCACTATTTAAGACTCAGCACCAGAGCACCTTTTCAAAGGAAGCAACACAACTCTTTTCTGATTAAGTGGGTGGCTCTGAAAAGAGCCTTTGGTTTAAAATGTTACGTCGTGCAAAGTCTGAGAAGCTTTGCCCGCTAAGTTATTTGCTTTTAGCTTTATGGCTCTCAGTCTTCTTGGGCAGCAGCACGGCCTGGATGTTGGGCAGCACGCCGCCCTGCGCGATGGTCACCTTGCCCAGCAGCTTGTTGAGCTCCTCGTCGTTGCGGATGGCGAGCTGCAGGTGGCGGGGGATGATGCGCGTCTTCTTGTTGTCGCGGGCCGCGTTGCCCGCCAGCTCCAGGATCTCGGCCGTCAGGTACTCCAGCACGGCCGCCATGTAGACAGGAGCTCCGGCACCCACCCGCTCCGCGTAGTTACCTTTTCGGAGAAGCCGATGAACGCGGCCCACGGGGAACTGCAGCCCGGCCCGCGACGAGCGCGACTTGGCCTTAGCTCGGACTTTGCCTCCCTGTTTCCCGCGGCCGGACATGCTGGAAGCGTCGGATGCAGCACAGAGCGCACACACAGCGGAGCACCGGGACACTCATACTGACGCAAGCGCTCCTCCCCTTTTATCCCTTCCCTGGGCGGGCTGAGCCCCCCGTGATTGGCTGCAACCGGGCTCCGCTGAAACAACCAATGAGCGGACGGATCGTACGGTGACCAATCCGCGGCCAGGACACGCCCACTACGGGAAGGTCCAATCGCATTGCAATGCGCGGAGACTGAAATTTGCATACCGGGTCTCTATAAATAGCGGGCGCTGCGGCCATTTTATGTGCAGAGCTTTCTCCGGGAGAAAAAGCGCTTCCAAAATGCCCGAGCCGGCCAAGTCCGCCCCCGCGCCCAAGAAGGGCTCCAAGAAGGCGGTGACCAAGACGCAGAAGAAAGGCGACAAGAAGCGCAAGAAGAGCCGCAAGGAGAGCTACTCCATCTACGTGTACAAGGTGCTGAAGCAGGTGCACCCCGACACGGGCATCTCGTCCAAGGCCATGGGCATCATGAACTCCTTCGTCAACGACATCTTCGAGCGCATCGCCGGCGAGGCGTCGCGCCTGGCGCACTACAACAAGCGCTCCACCATCACGTCGCGGGAGATCCAGACGGCCGTGCGGCTGCTGCTGCCCGGCGAGCTGGCCAAGCACGCCGTGTCCGAGGGCACCAAGGCTGTCACCAAGTACACCAGCTCCAAGTAGGGCGTCTCGGACCGTCACCCTCAACCCAAAGGCTCTTTTAAGAGCCACCCACGTATTCTATAAAAGAGCTTTAACACACGGTACTGCTTCGGTTTCCTTGTGTATGATAATTCATTTAAGAAATCGCAGATGGAATTTTAAACAAACGTTTTATAGGTTACTTAATCCTGCAATGTTATCTGTGAAATCCTTGAGTGTTTTGCAATTTACGGGTAATTAATGCACTCACTAGTCATAAATATAAAAGTTAAAATAATTTTCCAAAGCACGGAAACAATATTAAATCTTTTTACAGTAAAGATGTGAGACAATACTTCACGGTTTGTTGCATCCAAATTAGGAGTTTCACAGTTGAATTAGCAAATATGCTTCAAGAAAATAAAGGGAAATTATAATGAATTTCTTAAAGAGGCGGAGGGAAAAACAATTGGCCCTCTTCACTTTTTGTATAGATATTTCGGAATTCTCTTAAGCTGAAACATTTTGCCTCGTATATGAAAGGACAGGGACTGCAGGGCTGGGGGAAGGAGTTACACCACTGCGATGGGGCAGACGCTTTAGGGGGATGAGATCTCACGGAACGGGGGGCTCCAGGAGCCGGGTTAGGCTCGGAGCCAGCGCGGGCAGCGCTCCGAGCCCCCCCTCTGTTCCTCCCCCTTTGCATCCCCTTCCCTCCCCGCTCCTCCCCTCCCCTTCCTCTGCAGCGCGGGCTTTTCCAAATT